CCCCAAAACCCCAAAACCCCAAAACCCCAAAACCCCAATTATGAAAACTAAGATTGAAATAATAATTTGTCACTCTTGGGACTCAAGAAAATGGAGAATAATTTGAAAACTATTTCAACTAAGAAATTGTAAGTGCTAATACCAACATTCTGAAATGCTTTTTAAGGGCAAGCAATGAGCATAATGCTCAATAATAACCTTGTTTATACCAACCAGCCTCTTGTGCGCCATAAAGTACTTATTTAAATTAATAGTTTACCAAAATCTGAATATCTGGTGATAAGGATGTTGGATACCCACTTTGACTCTTCTTTAAGGTGACATATCGTTGTATCTACCCCTAGTAATTACTTTGGAAGTTTAAAGACACTGAAATAGGTTCAATGAAGAATTAAAGAAATTCCATCATCCAAAGTACAATAAGGATTCCTCGACCATCAGTTTGAGGCACAAGATCTCCTCAACCTCTAGGTTTGATGACTGATTGTGAAATATTGATAGTGACTCAGACCCTCTTCCAGCCCCCCAGAAAGTCCCTCTTTTTCAGTACAAATTTAATTTTACTGAGCGAAAGGGCAAAAGGAGACAAAGCAACCCCCAGAGCCATATCTCAGAGGAGAATTATCTTCAACCTCCAATGTTTTTATAAGCGACTCGAATTATGCAAGGCCGAGGATAAAATCTGCGTGTAGGGATTTGAAATGGATACCTCCGCGCAAGTTCGGAGATAAGATACTATGTAAGTGTCATCAAAACTAGGTTTACATATACCCATGCATTTCCAGGTCTTGCCCATCTTATCCTACCAATTTGGATGGGTGTTCGGGTTCATCTAAGTCTTTGCAGAAGCATTATCTAGCAATTTTAAACCTCATTCATTATTAACTAGTTGTAAATATCTTGTCTCAGACTCTGAGCTTACAGGCTGAAACGCTCTATCACTTTCTAAACTTGGAAGTTTAAGGAATTAGGCCACCCCTCGTTTATTTTTAGTTATTACTTTCCTTTAAGCTTAGACAGACATTACAAAAATAATAGTAAGTTTTCTCGCATGTCGAACGATGAGTCATGAATTTCTGACCAAGCCACAATAGATACTAAAATATTGAGGAAACACTACTAAGTCTACAGATACTGATTCCCATGAATCAGATTATAATTTAGCTTTATTTATGATGGAAAGATCTCTTGGTGACAACTATAGCATGATAAAGGAAATTATTAGATTTCAAACTACCATGTAGCTCAGAGATAGTTCCTCACATAGTTTAAGGTCAAGTATTATGGAATATACTGGCTCTTCTAAGAATTTCTGACCTCACTTTTCTACATCTTTTCGGTTTAAATTTCTTAACTTCCAAAATATTTTCAAAATGGAGAAGAACCAGGTCTCTAATTAAGATATTGCCTTAAATGAAGTTCTTGCAAGCCATGTTAGATTAGAGTGCTCACCAGTAGGTCTCCACAAATTAACATCATTGTAAATTTTCATGAGTCCTAAAGTGCCCAATCATGGAACCTGGCCTTATGTTTTGGAAGTAGTCAACATCTAACTCACATATCAGGGCACTTTTTATTGCCTCGCAATGGTAGACTAGCTTCCTTTAATATTTTTGCAAAACTCAGTTGATTCAGAACTATAACAAATCTAATTTGTAAGCAAAAGTTTGTTAGTATCCGATATTCACCTACATTTGTGAAAAATCTTAAGAAATTCTGAACGTATAAATCCAGTCCTGAAACTAGCACTTTGTGGTCAACTGATAGCTGATGGGAAAATTAGCTTATCAGTGTATACTGGTTCATGCTTTAGTACAGCAAAAACCTACTGATGTATCAACAGTCTTCCTCCTGATCTTTGTAGAAAAGTATCTGAATGCAAGGGTTGACTCATAGGTACTAAAAATATAGTAAACCGACATATTCAAAAGTTGAGCCCTCCTTGGAATCAATTAAACTCCTTAAAACTGATAGTTTTAGTGTGATATGTAACCTGGATAAACACTCCTAACCTCCTTGATATTAAAGTAATTTAATTGTTCAAATATCCTCAACAACGATTCGGCAACATTGCTCCAAACATCAGCCATTTATGAGAAATTAGGGGGTCAATGTTTAGATTCATTGAAGTTAGACCAATCTAACATCAGAGTTTTACTTATAAAGATTCCTGCGGTTAACTCTTCAATGGACTCTTAGCGATACGTCTTCACAAACTTTTAATAAAGCGTAGCCTCAGGGGATGCTTAATAGACATATTGTAAAAATTCCATGACCAGGCCTGCTTCACTATCCAGAACTGTTGTTTGACTACCTTCTCTCAATTTCTGGAGAATTTTCCCACTATTTATTTTAAAACCCTAAAAATAACAATCTGTTTATAGCAAGTAACCTCAAAGAGGAGAGTAAGAGAATTCCAATAGATAAATGTAAGGCAAATCCAGTCAAATAGAAATATCTAGGCCCTGCCTTTGCTTTATTAGAATCCTACACAAATTTTAAATTTCGTTGATTACTTAACTGTGAAGTTCCACAAGGATCCAACTGTTCTCTAACGATTCGATAGCATATCTCTACTACGATGAAGACAGCTTGATCCAAAATTCTAATTCAAAGCCAATTGAAAGTATAATCAGTAGCAAACATTCGAAAAGTGAGAGCACTCCTGGGTTTGGAAAGCCTGACAATAATATGCCCACTCATTTATCTAAGATGGGCCAGAGCAAACAAAGTGGCTTCTTCCCTCAAAGATATGTTAAGAGTCCATCTAGTCTGGCTGTTCCACGGCCTAGAAGAAGAAAGAGGTCCAAGAATTGGGCAAACTCATAACGATTTATACAGTTCCTTTAATTCTAATAATATTATCGTTTCAATGTTTAAATCAAAATAAGGGGTTTTGGGGTTTTGGGGTTTTGGGGTTTTGGGGTTTTGGGG